TCAAAGCATGGAGCACTCAGATGGATATGCAAAGTCTTTCTTGGGTACAGGAAGAATCAGGACAAAAATCCCTTGTGGTGGCAGCATGAGGCAGAGGTCAAGGGCTGGGGGCTGTTAAGAGAAAACAAACCCAGCATTTGAAGAAAATACAATCACTATCTTGAAGAGATATCTGCACTCCTATGATTTGTTGCCCATCTCAGGGTATGCACAGGCTGAGATTTAGGCTCCTCTATACACTTGGAGTTAGAGACTTTAAAGGTGCATTAACCACTTGACCCTGACTTCCATTGCCTCAAAAGGGGATGTCCTCCTCGGGGGCCATTGGGCAAGAGCTCAGGCCTGTATCCTCAGCATCTGGCAGCCTAGACCCTACTGCTGTGAACCCCGGGGCCTGACTGATGAGAACTCACTGCTGTCTTATTGTGGATGGACAGATGGACAAATGGATGGATGATGAATGGATGGATGGGGATGGATGGAGAGCTATGGATGCTCAATGTTCTACACACACAAATAGCTGAGTGGAAGCATTTCAGTAAGCATGATAGCCTGTGGCAAGAATATATGGGTGTCGGTCTGTGTGGACAAAATCTATACATTTTAAGGTTTGGAAATATTCAAGACAAAATGCCATGGAAGCAGTAAGCCAAGGACAGAGCCATGTCTGGATTCCAAATCTCAGGATGTGTGAAGGACTGTGCTTAAACAGCCTAAAGGCCCTGTTGACTCATCTGTTTGGGCATTGGTTCAATAAAGCACTGAGCAAGTATAAACAAACAAACAAACAAAACGTTGCTTTACAAAGATGGAGGAAGTTCTTCGTTGTCAAAAATCAATATCCCTGTCCAATCACCTCATGGCAGTTTCTTGAGGCTTCTCTTTAAGACTGGAGATCTAAGTCATTACATAAGACTGTAATGCACCTGATGGGCACAAGATGTCACATCAACCTGGCACCAGCCAAGGAAGGCAAACTAGAGAAATCACATCTTCCAAATGTTAATCTGACACTGTAAACAGCAGCAGGGGTCTCATTTACATGAGCAAAGCACTTTAACTATTTTATTTTAGCAACTTTCCTATGGAAGAAAAAACATGATTCAAGATGGTTAATGGGCAAAGTTTAAACATGATCTCCACAGCTACTAGGTTAAGAAATAATACAGTTTCTGCCCTTGTGTTCCTTTTTCTTCTTGAAATTAATTGTTCTCTGACCAAACTATATTATTATTCACAATAGCCAAGACATGGAAACAACCTAAGTGTCTATCAACAAATGAATGGATAAAGTAGGGTATAGATATATGTGGAATGTTAGTCACCCATAAAAAAAGAAAGAAACCCTGCCATATCCAACAACATGGATGGACCTTAAGGATATTTCTAAGTAAAATAAGTCAGACAGAGAAAGACTAATGCTGTATGTCTCATATGTGGACTCATATGTGGACTCTAAAAAAAAGCCAGACTCTGAAACAAAAAATAGGATGGTGGTTGCAGGGGGCTGAGGCATGGTTCTAGGGGGCATGTTGGTCAAAGGGTATATACTTCCAGTTATAAGTTCTGGGGATTTATGTACAGTGTGGTGACTATAGTTAACAATATTGTATTATATACTTGAAAGGTGCTAAGAAAGTAGATATTAAATGCTTTTACTACAAAAACTGGTACCTATGTGATGTATGATAAATGATGGATGTGTAAACTAATCTTATTGTGGTAATCATTTCACAATAAATATGTGTATCATATGATCACTGTACTCCTTAAACTTACACAACATTATATGTCAACTACATGTCAATAAACTTGGGGTGAGGGTAGGGAGGAAAATATATCCAAACCTATGTGTTCAATTACTGCCTTAACACATGCATCTCTTAAGAGGCTATTTTTTTTTCCAGTGATGCTGCTATATTTGAAAACATTTTTGGAAACATAGAAATTTTCAGAAAGCCAAATTAGAAGGCATACATAAAAATAAGTCATCTTTTTATTTTTTTACTCCAATTTCTGTTGGACAGGGGTTTTTTTCACTGTATTTACTAGATGTGGTTCTGGAAGTTTTTCAGCTACTTTTGAAAAGAAACTTAGAAATGAAAACTTCTGTTTTTCTATTGCTGAAGTTGTTCAAATCTCAGTTCTGAAAGTGGCAGCAGCATTTGAATAAGACATTTAACTTAAGGGGCAGCCTGGGCTCAGCGATTTAGCACCGCCTTCAGCCCAGGGCCTGATCCTGGAGACCTGGGATTGAGTCCCATGTCAGGCTCCCTGCAGGGAGCCTGTTTCTCCTTCTGCCTGTCTCTGCCTCTCTCTCTGTGTGTCTCATGAATAAATAAATAAAAATCTTAAAAAAAAGATATTTAACTTATATCTTGAAAGTGATATTAGAATGTCTACAGTTTTTATTAAGAAAATAAACTGCATTACTTTGTAGTCATTTTATCAATCTTGTGTATTATTAAATCGCTGTATTTTCTAGGTAAGTCAAATTCAATACTCGTGACCCCACCCCCAAAAATGAATAAAATGAAATTAGCCATGTATTTATTCCATGACAGCAGTCTATGTTTTAACGAGAATATTTGTAAAGTAATTCTGAGTTCTTACTCTGTGAATGCAAGTCATCAGTACTAAAGTCAGCAAATAAGACAGCTGCCCGGGACAGACAGGCAAGGTAAAGGTTCTAAACAAGTGCTTAATGACAGTATTTGAGGAGCTATTTCTGTTCTCTGCCCTGTAGCGGCTAATTTATCCTTCATACCACATTCCTTGATAGAAGTGGAAATGCGCTACTCTGGGAATGCTGACTGTGTTGTGGTGACAGCCAAGTGGCTTGCATCCTAGTAGAACTGAGAGATCTCAGAATTGCATTCTCCCATGCATTTTCACCAGATTCTGCTCAAGGGACTCTTATGTATTTATCATTACAGTTTTACCCCTGGAGAGGTACTCAACTAGGTTTGCCTTCAAATTCCAATCGGTATGAGTTTGTGGAAACACAACAAGCAGTTGTGGAGAACATATATGGAGAAGGCAGGTTTTAGGAAAATTACAAGGAAAATCCACAGCTTCTCATGCCTGATACCAAGCCTAAGTTTGGGAAGTGTCAAGAGTCTGTGTGAACCTACAAACTGCTGCACAGGCATCTAGTCGACCTCTGGAATGGCAAAACACTAGCTAGAAAGTAGGAGACAGCACAAAGCCAATTCTTGGCTAATTTTAGATACTGGACATAAGAAATGCCATTAACCAGTTCTATTGGTAAAATCATGTTAGCTCTTTCTTTTATTTATATATTTATTTTTTAAAAGATTCTATTTATTTATTCATGAGAGACACAGAGGGAGGCAGAGACACAAGCAGAGGGAGAAGCAGGCTCTCTGCAGGGAACCTGATGTGGGATTCATCCTGGGACCCCGGGATCATGCCCTGAGCCAAAGGCAGATGCTCAACCACTGCTCTTTCTTTTATTTTACCAAGAAAAACAAAAGTTTTTAATAGCAAAATCCTTAAACATAAACCCTCATGGTCTGCAAGATTAATAGTTTCAGTGAGGCTTTCTCCTGCTGGAACATTAGGAAGACCATAACAGAGTATAGGAAAATGTTAGCATTATTCACTCAATTAGCAATGGTTATTCCATACTTACTATATACCAGACTCCATAACAGCGCTGGAGAGACAAAGTAAATTAAGACATGAATATGGCCTTGAAGGGCTTACCTTTTAAAAGAAACAGATAAATAACATCCCCACATGATAGGGGGGCTATACAACAGGAAGAACATCTTCTAGGTTTGAGGACAACCAACTATGTGGGGGAGTTACCCTTCATAAAATAATTTACATTTGAGATGGCTTAACGTTTGAGAATTCATTATAAGGAATTAGGGGAAGAAGAGTCTAGAACAGCTTTCTCTGGGGTTGAAAGCACAGAAGCACTTGGCATATTGGGAGGTGTTGATAGGTTAAACTGTGGAAATTCATATGTGGAAGTCTTAACTTCAGCGCCGTAGAAAGTGACAGTAATTGGAAATAGGGTCATTGCAAATGTAATTAGTTAATTTTGGATGAGATTTTACTGGGGCAGGATTTCCCCTTATATAATGGGGAAATTCGGACAACACAATCACAGGGGCGAAACACAGTGGGGATGAAGACACAGATCAGGAAGGTGCAGCAGAAGCCAAGGCACACCAAGGATTGCCACCAACCACAGAAGCTTGGGGAGTGGACCGGGTCAGATTCTCCCTCACAGCCTGAGCTCAGAGTTGTGAGCACACTGGGTCTCAGACCTGCAGCCTGCACAACAGTGAGACAATCCATTTCTGCTTTTTGTTACCTGGTTTGTTGTCTTTTTTAAAGACAATATTAGGAAGCAAACACAGGGGGAATGGCAAGAAGTTCTGTTTGGTTGTTTGTGTAGATGTGAGGTAGAGAAGGAGGACCATTAGGAATGAAGCTGGAAAGAAGACTAGGCCCTTATCCAGAGTCCTTTTTGTCAAACTGAACACATTCATCTCAGACTTGTTGATAAGACGGAACAGTGATTTTTAATGAAGGGCTAAAACACTGGGGAAGGTGAGAAGCTGGAGGCGTAAGCAGGTGGCAGAAACCATAATAAAGAGCCCTTAACCCAGAGTTCACAGTCTCAAAAAAAGAGTAGAAGACTGTGAGACCCTTGAAATTTCAGGTAAAATTTTGTGTAGTCATGAATCATTATATCCTATTAGTTAAGTGCACAAATTTCGAAATTGGGCATCCGTTCCAAATCCCCATTCAAACACATACTAGCCCAAGGCCATCATCAAGTTATTTTTCTTCCCTAAGGCCCAGTTTCCTTAACTAAGCAAGGGGGATGACCCCATACTATAGGTTGCTTATGAGACTATAATGGTATTGGACATAAAGTACTTAGTACAATGACACAGAATAAATGTTCTTTCCTAAATGTCTCCTATTATTGTTTAATTATTTTCATCTTCCTGGTGCAGGTGATGCCTCAACATTGAATTCCTAGAGATCACTATCACATTGAGGTTTTGATGCGTTCAAAGCCCACCTCTTAATGAAGATTATGGCAAACAAAGATCCATATTAAAATTGGCTTAAATAGGTAAGATAAATAATGTTTCTTTATTATGAACACACTGTTTTAAAATTCAGCATTAATAATAATTCTATCAGGACTCCTGGGTGGCTCAGTGGTTGAGTGTCTGCCTTTGGCTCAGGTCGTGATCCTGGGTTCCTGGGATTGAGTCCTGGGAGCCTGCTTCTCCCTCTGCCTCTCTCTCTCTGTGTCTCTCATGAATAAATAAATAAAATCTTTAAAAAAATATATTAATTCTATCAAACCAATAGTTTCCAGAGGGGATGGGCGTGGGAGGGAAGGTTGAAATAGGTGATGGGGATTAAGGAGCACGCTTATGATGAGCATTGAGAGATCAAAAAAAATGCTATCCTGAAATAATCCAGTGAAAATAATAATAATAATTCTACCTGCAGTGGAGATAAGTGAAGAATATGATTAAGATCTGGTTACTGGGAAAAGTTCTTTGACTCTTCGGGGCTACAGTGACCAATGAAAACTGTCTGAGAAATAGTCATATACATGTTAAAGCAGTAAACAAGTGTGTGGGGGTGTGTGTGCATGTTTGCATGAACCATATAGCTATGGCTGATTCAACATCATTAAGTATTGTTGGTTAACCACTGAACACAAGCCTTGACAAATCTGTTTCAAAAGAATGATGTATGGCAGCTAACATCCAAATTCACACTAACAGATTGCAATGGATTTGTGTTCCAATACTTTATCTCTAAATTCCCCACAATTTTAAAGTAACTTTTAATTGGAGATGATCGGTAGTCATGTCCTATACTATTTTAATTCCAGATTGCAGTTCTGATTATATCATAAACATTTAGGGCATCTGCTAGTGAGGGTAAATCCTCTCCATCTTCTTAATACAAAAGCCTTTTAAACTCCTAGTTGTGGAAGAGAGAAGCTACTATTTTTTTTATTGAGTGTCTGGCCCAAGATCACATGCTCATCGGAGTCAGATTTAAGCCAGTCTGACACAAAGCTTTCATCTATGACATCTCACTGCCTTTCCAACTCTGCATTAATGACATGAAGATAAGAACAAAGAGAGGAGGATTAGTACTCCTGGAGTACCTACTAAGTACTAGACACTTTGGCAAGGATTATCTCATTTCGTTATCACTTAATTACCTCCATTTTTCAAAGTTTACTCATTTAAAATGGGATAAAGCCAGGGTGACTCATTTTCTGACTCCAAGGTCATTGTTCTTTCCTCTACACAAGAGAAGACCGCCTCCTCAACTCCCCCCAAATATCCATGTTTAGTTTTCTCTCTTCTGACATAATCTCATAAATTGTCCTTTACTGTCTTAGATTGGGTTCTCACAGATATAGATTTCATATCAAGAAATCAGAGTGCACAGTTGCTTTGGGAAGTACTTCTAGGCAGGCTCCATAGGGAAGTGGGGGAGTGAAACCAATAAAAGGCAGGTTGATGAATGAATTACCACTGGGGTAATTCATATGGGGTGCGATCCATAGGAGTTTCTTAGAGACTTCATAGAGCACATCGGAGTTGGGATGAGCCAGCCACTCACTCCTGTTAGTTAATAGTTGAAAGCTCTTCCTGGAGGCTCAACTCCCTGGCTTTTATAGCTGGGTGGCCACGGAAAGCCCTCAGGCAGAAAGCTGAAGGTGCTTGTCTTCTGAACTCCTGGGGGAATAGTGAGTTCCCAGAAGATATGGAGGCAGGGCACAAAGATGCACAGTGTTTGCTACAATTATTGTCCTTATTTTATAAATATTGCAACTGAAGACCAGAGAAACTGAGTATTATAATTTGGCTAACAGTGGATTCTGCTGGACACCATCGCTTATCCCAAGCAAATGTGTCTCTGATGGTGAGAAAGGATGACTATATTAACCTCTCTAGAGTGTTTCCCTATTAACACAGCCTCTACTCCCAGTGAGGACTTATTTTTACCTCTTCATACTGTTTTACTTTCAGTTATTAGCTTTCAGTTCATGAGTTCTTAACTTGTGAAACAGTCAAGAAGGCAAAAAGTCTCCTTTCTGCCTTATGGTAACACCCCTCCACCACCACCACTCCAGACCCATTTCAACTTAGTCACCTCTGTAAAGACTCTAGTTCCAAATGGGTCATATTCTGAGGTACTGAAGGTTATAACATCAATGTATAAATTTGGAGGTAATATAATTCAGCCCATAACAGTACTTAAAGGAAGAAGTAAATTAGACCCATAGAAACTGATCATTTATTTTAGATTTTTAGGTTTAGGAATAATCTTGGGTTTTTGGCATTTACGATAATTGTCATATTTTTAAAAATTTGACATTTTGAAATTCTGAAAGATTAGTCTTACAAGCAAAATGTAAAACATATAACTGAGTCATTGATTTTAGACTTGGAGTTTTAAGTTGAACAGTATGAGTTTTTGGCTAAGTTTGTAAATAATATTAGAATGTTTTTAAAGAACTTAGATTCTCTATATTTTTAAAGTATAATTTAATAGATTTACATGCAATGTCAAAGCATATGGGAAAGTTTTACTTGCTGAACATTTCTTTAAAATATGTGAAAATAGAATCTATTTTGTTACATTTATAAATGCAGTTTAAAACGTTTTAGGAGAGTTTAGCCAAGTTTGTAAATAGGACAGAATATTTAGGAGAATGTAAAAGTATTAATCAAAGTTTCCTTGGAAGTTATTGTTAAATGTTACTAGATTTATAACTATAATAATGCTATTTTTAAGTTGAACTTAAAAGCTTAAGGGAAAACTAAGCTTTTTAATTTTTCATTTTAATAAATTGAATATTATTTTTTTAAAAGCAGCCACCAATAGCATTTCTTGCACATCAGTCTGTCCTCAAGAATGCAAAAATCTCATTTCAGGACTAAGAATATCATGTGAAAAAGAGCTACATTTTTAACTTAAAATTATATTTTCTTCTTATTACAAAAGTAAAGCATACATATTATAGAAACTTTTTTGACATCTAAAAACATTTTGAAAGATCTGAAAACATTAATGAAAAGATAATAAAACAAAAAACATATAGTCAAAGATAATAATTACAGTAATTACAGTAATAATTATGCTTCCTTGTAGGAAGCATCTGGAAATGTCAGTGTTGTCATTGTGTGGTTTCCAGACCAAGGCAGTAGTGGCACCTGGGAGTAAGTTGGAAGACCAACACTCCCTCTTCCCTCCACCCTCCAGACATACTGAAGAACATTCTAGGACAGGGGCCCAGCAATCTGGTTGCAACAGTCCCTCCAGATGATTCTGTCCTACACTAGACTTTGAAGCCTGACCCATGTCATAATTGTTTCCACAGCATGAATACCTGTGAATGATACTATTCGCTCAAAGGATTTTTTTTGTGATTTGATTTATTATTTACAATTATTATTTTTACTAACCCGGAAACTTTATTTAGATTTCACAAGTTTTTCTGATAAAGTCCTTTTCTACTCTAGGATCCAGTACAAGATCCTACATTACATTTACTCATCACGTCCCCTTTGTCTCCTCAGTTCTGTGACATTTCGGCCTTCCTTGTTTTACAAGACCTTGCAATTTTTGAAGAGTATTTGTGAAGTATTTTGTTGAATGTCCCTCATTTGGGGTTTTCTCGTGATTATTAGATTGGGGTTATGAGTTTCAGGGAACAACACCAGAGAGGTGAGATACCCTTCCCATTGCATCCTATCAGAGGGTATGTAATAGCATCATGATTTATTACTAGTGATGTTTACCTTGACCACTTTGGTTAGAGTGGTGTCTGCCAGATGTCTCCACTGTAAGGTTACTATTTTTCCTTTTCCATACTTCATTCTTTGGAAGCAAATCACAAAGTCCAGTCAGAATTCAAGGGAAAAAACATTAAGCTCTACCTCCCAAAGGGGATAGTACCTCCATAAATTCTTTGGATTTGTTCTGTAAGAAAGATTTCCTCTCCTTCATTGATTGATTGACTGATTGATTTACATCAGTATGGATTCATGGACATTTATTTTATTCTTTGGGTTATAATTCAATACAACATTTATTTATTTCTTCCTCATAGCCTGCTAGCTTTGGTCTGCTGTTTCAGATTGGCTCCTATCTTTTCCAGCTTGACTGAGGTATAATTCACCAGTAAAATTGCAATATATTTAACATGTACAACATGATGATTTGATATACATGATGAATATATACATATATACATAATGAATGTATATACATAATGAATGGATTCCTACCAAGTTAATTAGCACATCTATCAGTTCACATAGTAGCTTTTTTGAAGAAAGGGATAAAAACACTTAAGACTTACTCTTTTAGCAAATTTCAATTATATAAAACAATATTATCAACCATGGCCATAAAGTAGATCCTCAGACCTCATTCAAATTATTACTGAAAGTTTACTCTTTTACCAACTTCTTCCCATTTCACCACCCTCTAGCCTCCGGCAACTACCAATCTACTCTGTTTCTATGAATTTGACTTTTTTTTCCCCTAGATTCTACATGTAAGTGACACCATGGAGTATTTGTCTTTCTCTGTCTGGCTCTTCTGTTTTTTGTTTATCCTTCCTTACTTCTGGCGCTGCAAGATGTCCCACGCTTCTTATTTTGTATTTTCCACACCCAGAAGCTATAATTTCTATAATCAATCATTTCTCCAAGAAGCTTTGATTCTTTTAACTGGAGAATTGTATTCAGTAACCAAGATCTGGACATGGGTATGCTTGTTGCCACTAGGGTTTTACTAATCTTAAGTCCTCTCTCATGGGCAGAGCTAAGAAATACATATACTTTTAAGGATTCCAATATGTATTACAAAATTGTTCTCTAACTTTTTTTCTAGCTTACATCATACCACTAATGTATGATAGAGCAAGTTTTCCTCTATGTTTGTAGAAAAGGATCATTATGATTTATTAAATTGTAGCCTTACTACAATTGCATGGTATACCCATGCAATTTTTATTTCTGTGCCAATTAAATATTTTCCACATATCCACTAGGCTTTTTGCTTTTTCCTTTTACAAATTTT